CCGATCTCTAAGAGTCTCTGGTTGAGTATACAACGAGGCGATACTTCCACGTCTCAATTTTAGGGTTTCTAGCCGACCCTTAATCGTGGCTAGTGACGACTCCAAATAGAATACATAAATTTAGACAACCAACGTCACGCGAGATACGGACTTAGGAAGTGTTTTGTAAAGTACCTCTAAACCTACTTTTCCTGAGGCGGCCCTTGAGGGTTAGGTCGCGACAGACATCACCAACTGTCAATGAGAATCTTCACTGGTCGACAAGGTCATCGACAGCTATTGCAAATTTTATTAAGTGTTGGAATTCAACGGTAGTAATGATGAATTGACACAAGAACGTAACTTTTGGGTAGTTATTTCTGTAGAAGGTTTGTTATTCTTTGTGAATAAGTGTTGTAATAGGAAATCGTGTAACTTCTTGTAACCACCAATAAGATTAGATAGTTATTTCTTTATTCGAAGTATGTAACCGCCATATGTAATCGTCTGTAGAGGATTATAAATATCCCAAATGCATTCACCGTAAGTCCCGCCAAATTAGAGAACTCAATGTTCTCACAAATTTATCTTTTATCTTTATTTTCTTGGAATTTTCATGGTTGGACACGATTGTCTCCGGTGTCTGTACATTTAATTTTCTTGTTATTTACTTTTCTATCCAAAATCTATAAAGGACCATTTGCAACCTTTGTCGATTCATATCGATTCATCAATATTCTTGAAGGATACGACATCACATTATTGGCGAAATATATAGTTACTAATAAAATCAGAAAATAGCATGGAACTTTCTTTTTTGAGGTGCCAGAATAACACCTTTTTACTGGCCATTTATCTATTCGAAGATGATCTTAGATTTTGTGAAGTGGCCAATCGATTGGTTTCTATTTAAAATATGCTAGTTGTCCTGCTTGTGCTATACATATGCAGTACTACTTCCGAGATAATATTATTTAGGGAAAAAACCACCAAAAACCCCAAACTTTGTCATCTGTGACACATTTACCCCGAACTTTTTTTTGTGACACCAAAAACCCCGAACTTTGCTTTTTGTGACACATTTACCCCAATGTATTTAGTCCATGGGCATTTTCGTTTTTTTTTTTTTTTTTTTTTCCTTCCCGTGAGGGCCCTCGCGGCGTCGAGCGAGGGCCGCCTCGCCGATCCGGCGAGGCGGCCTCGCGCCGGCGGGGCGAGGTTCGCCCTCGCTGGGCGAGCGAGGCGGCCCTCGCCCAGGCTCGAGCGAGGTCGACCCTCGCCGGCTCCGGCGAGGTCGACCTCGCTGAGTCCGGGCGAGGCCGCCTCGCTCACCCGAGCGAGGGCGACCCTCGCCGGCGTCGGCGAGGTCCGCCCTCGCTGGGCGAGCGAGGGCCGCCTCGCCGACGCCGGCGCGAGGGCGGCCCTCGTACGGGCGCGGCCGCCGCTGACGCGGCGAGGGGCCTCGCGGCGTGCCGGCAAGGGCGCCCATCGCCGGATCCGGCGAGGGGGCCCTCGCCGGCGTCGGGCGAGGTTCGCCCTCGCTCAGGGCGAGCGAGGGCGGCCTCGCCCGACTCAAGCGAGGTCGACCCTCGCCGCGTCGGGCGAGGGTCGACCTCGCTGAGCCTCGGGCGAGGGCCGCCCTCGCTCGCCCGGGCGAGGCGAACCTCGCCCGACGCCGGCGAGGGCCCCCTCGCCGGATCCGGCGATGGGCAGCCCTTGCCCGACGCCGGCGAGGCCCCCCCTCGCCGGAAAGGAAAAAAAAAGAAAAAAAAAAGCAAAAAGGACGAAAATGCCCATGGACTAAATACATTGGGGTAAATGTGTCACAAAAAGCAAAGTTCGGGGTTTTTGGTGTCACAAAAAAAAGTTCGGGGTAAATGTGTCACAGATGGCAAAGTTTGGGGTTTTTGGTGGTTTTTTCCTTATTATTTAACCATATCCGTAGAATTAATTTAGTGATATTATTCTAAAAATAGAGGGAGAATCGTCCTATATAAAAGTACAGGTTAAAACCTTATTCAGCATTAGAATGATATTTGCGCTTGCTTAAAGTGAGATTCTTAATTAGACAAAATGGTAAATGGGTGGTTGCTCAACAAATGAAACTTACAATTGGTAATTTTGAAAAGTAAAAAGTGAGATGGATGGCATAAGTTATACCCTCAGTTTTGGGCCTTCTATTTCATTCCTTGACCAATTGCTAGGTTGGTGGTCCAGACATATATGGAGAAAATGTAGTCGACAAGGAAGTGTACAAATCAAACCATGACAGCTTTTGGGCTAGAACAAGAATATTGGGAACCCATTTATATAAGGACAAAATATCTTATGCAAATCAATTTATGAAACCTAAATTCTGTGCAAGAAAAGCAGTTTGTACTTTGTAGGGATGCGTACCAACAAGTAAGAGATCGACATTAAAAAAAAAAGGAAGCAAAATCTATGACCAAGTATCGCATAAAAGGAAATTAAATTTCTCTCGATCATAGCATAGTTCCGCAAACTTGTGTCATATCAAATTCTTAATTATCTAAACTCTATCTAGTACATACATATTTATTTATTTAATTAAAAGTTGTTCTACATAGTATCTGCACTTTTGTTCAAGATACCCCGCGCACATCAGAATAGGTCAAACATGACCTCTATGGTTTAACGAAAATAAGGATGTAAAAATCATATCTTAAATTTGAGAGAATTTATAAATGTCTCTTGCAACTTTGCTTGTGTTTACGGCTTTGTGCATGAGATCCTAATTTAATTAGCATCATTATTCTGTAATTAACGTGATTTTTTTAAAAAAAACATTTATCTACGTGTACATGCACTCTTGTTTATATACCTACTATGTATATACAAGTTTATATATATCTTATTAAAAAAGAAAGATTAATACCACGAAAAATCCCAAACTGGTACACCTGTAACAAATTTGTCCCAAACTAATTTTTTGACTACCAAAATTCTCAAACCGGCCGGTACATTTGTGACAAAATTACCCTCTGTTAATTTTCATTAAATTGGATTAATACAAAAAAATCACAAACTAGTATTGTGACAAACGGAGGGTAAAACTCAAAACTGGTACATCATGTCATTTAATAAAGCAACTTAACAGTAAAATTTAACGAAAACTAACAAAGGGTAAATTTGTCACAGATGTACCAGTTTGGGATTTTTGGTAGTCAAAAAATTAATTTGGAACAAATTTGTCACATGTATACCAGTTTGGATTTTTCGTGGTATTAACCCAAAAAAGAAACATATATAGGTATATATATATATATATATATATATATATATATATATATATATATATATATATATATCATGCCGCTATTAAACGTTATTCAATCACATAAAAATCTAAACTTATATATAATTAAATAAATATATACACGCAAATATATAGAATATACGACTGATATCTACTTAGAATATTACTATCTGTGAACATAATTTTTCAGAAGCTAGAATCTACATTAGAATGGAATAAAAAGAGATTATTGTTACTTGAGTTGTATGGTTATTGTCTCTCTTGTTCAATTTTTTTTATTTGTTTGACAATGGATGATTTAAAGCCCATGTAAATCATATGGAATTAATTAATTTGGAGCATGTGAAGGGTTCAATTCGTTTGGTACTGGTTCGATGTAACAATTCTCTTCAATCTTTCTCTAGAGACCAGCACCACGTTGCTTTCGCAATTTCACATGCTAGTGCTAGTTAAAGCTAAATGAGAATCATAACCAAATAAACAAACAAATAAATGAATGATATTAGAATAAAATAAAACAAAAGCTATATGAGCATTGAACTAGATGTGTACTATATGACATGGAGATCGTAAATCGACCAATTTTTCTGCTTTTAATACACATTTAGTGCACATATTATAAACTAATGGATCGCACATGGTCATCAAGTCATTTCACTGAAATCTATAAGCTGAAAAGATTGGACTTTGGACAACTTCGAAAATATCTTAGTTTTATTATTAATGATAAATAAATACGACAGTGCGATGTTAGATTAGATTGAACTGAATGTTTAGATCCGCCGGTCAACATGGGCTCCTAGTATTAAATCCTGGTCAACTAGCTGAAAGATAAACATATACAAAAAATAAATTAAATTAAATCTAAATGATGCCCCGGATAATGGGGCAAAAATAAAATATCGATTACTTGAGGGGTGATTTTCTGGGGTACAGAAAATTTTTCTGGTGTCATCGAGCCACTCAAGTCGAGAAGAAATTATTTTATCTAGCGCTAATAGTAATGTGTTAAATCAAATTCAAGTTCCAGAAAGGCAAATTGCTCGTGAAGTAATTGAGAGTTACGTCCGCAAGGTATTTCTTTTTCCTTTTTTTTTTTAATTTGGAGAAAAGTCAAAGCCTTAGACCTTTTGTACGAGATGCAATCAAATCATAACATGTTAATTTATGGAATATAATCCTAATCAAATATTTGTTTTCGAAAAGTTGTGATGCAATCCTTCCGGTCATTCCCCCACTTTTCCTACTTGGCATTATATAAAAGCAAGCATATCCAAAGCTACCAGTAGGGACAAAATTTAATAAGACCATATATAGGCTATTTTTTTTTGACAGAATTTATAGGCTATTTAGATACTTAATTTAAAAAAATATATACATTCTGATCGATGTCAGATTCTCTTTTCTATTCCTAACATTGCTTCCGTTCCATTTCAAGAACCTGATCAAGACCCAACATTTCATAGCATTGCCTGAAATCTTGATTTGTAACATGCAAAGTCATATATCAGAACGGTCTCTAATGGGATTCTTGAGAAAAGATCATATAGATGAGTTGACAAATCGATATGCTTAAGCTGACCGTTGCTACTAATTGACCGTAAATATATGGTCTGAGTAAAGAAATGCCTGTAGATACTATCTACCCAAAACTGAACCAAACGAACCTGTAGTACTATACGTTCATTCCGTTGGATTGACATCCGTTTGAGTTTACCTTATTATATTGGCGGGCAACGTATAATAAGTCCTTAAGGGTACGCAAAATTAGGTACCATCTAAATGATATCCATGAGTAAAAAACGGTACGGTTACATTTAGCTTAAAGATAATCGATTTAAGACACGATAGCAGAAAAAGAATGAGAAAAATACTAGCATTTTCCACGATACAAATTTACAAATTTTTTTCAATGTAAGACAGAAGCATGAACATCATTACACTAACAATGAAATTGCACTTCAAAAAATTATTTGCTCCTAGAAATTGTTCTGTATCGCTAGCCACTTTTTTGTGTATCTCCCAGGAAGTAAAAAGCTTCAGAACCTGCATATATCCATTGGGGCACAATGAACAACATTCTCTGCATCTTTGAATCTTCCACTTGTTTCTTCTCCTCATCTATGAACTGCACAAGTGTAGAATTACAAAAAGAGAGGGTCATCAGCAGAACTCTTGACATAAACCCTGGTTTGATTTTGCACAAAATCAATAAAAAATGTGGCGCTCCTTACATTGATAACATGAATTTAAGCAATAAACCATCGAGTCAACAGTTTTGGTTTAATTAAACCCTAGATATATCACTCTACTCATCTTTAGTGCTTGACTAAAACACACCGAAAGTCAGATTTTGTACTGTGCTTCACTAGCTCACAGAAATTACAAGCCGGAATCTCGGGCATTGCACTGGGAACAAGAGCTATTTACTAATTGCTCAACTCAAAAGCAACAGAAACATCAATTTCCATAGATGATTATTGAAATGGAAGGTTCCCATCAAACTTATTAGGTAGGCACTTTCTGATAGGGCTTGACTTGTCCTTTCTAGGAAAAGAGGAGCATCATAGCACCAAAGTCAATGTACAAGATCTCCTTTCGCAAATATGCACATGCAGAGGATCTTATAGTAACCAACTAAGATGTTCATCACATATATCACAACACTTTCTTCCTTGTTGCCGTCAGATGCTATCTTTAGTCAAATTTCATATGATGGCGCCTCCTAGGACACACTGAATCAATTATATTCCCCTCATAAGTTAACCCAAATAAGCACTTTCTACGTAATTCTACATGTTCATAGGATGTGGTGAAACGGGCGGCGGACATAAACTTGAACAATAAAATGCTGCAGTTTGACATAGGGTTGCTACCAAGGATTGAACATTCCTCTCTCTCTGTACAAAGAACAAAAGAATGTGCCCCCAAAACCAATCTTTGCTGGTTCAATCATCAACTATAGGCACTAATTTGGGCTCTATGGGTCTCTTGAGCACCATAATCTCTCTATTATGACGATCGATAATCATGTGCATTTTGTCGCAATTCCAAAAGATCTCATCACGTGCAAAACCTTGTCTATATGCAGCGATCTAATGGCTACCCAGGCCCCCGAAAACAACCATGAAATTTAACCTTTCTTTTGCCTACCAAGGCCACCTTCCCCAATTTATGAAAGAGAATACCAGATTCCACACTTCAAGCACCAACACTCCATAAATGCAGAAGACGACAAAAAGAATCACTCACGGAATAGAAAATTCCTTTTGTACAATCAAAGCAGAGAGAGAAAGAGAGAGAGAGAGAGAGAGAGAGAGAGAGAGAGAGAGCACGTACCTAGAACCATAAAAACCGCCTCAAGAAACTCAGCATGGGAAGAAACAAGAACTTAGCCAAAAAAAGGAAATTGTTCATCAACAGGAAGGACCACCGTTGTTGTTGTTGTTGCTTCGCTCCTCACTTCCAGACCTCTGCTCTTGGCCATGCTCTTGCTGATCTTGCGCTTGTCCTTGTTGTGGCTGCAGCGACAGCTGGTGCGCCTGAATCTGGTATGGATTGTCAAAAGTCCCCAACGCCAGCGACGGGGAAGCCGGCGGCGGAGGAATTACATTGCTTGTGGGGTTGTACCTGGACGGAGACACCGAGTTCCCGACACCGTCAAAGCCGCTTGCATCGAACTTGATTTCAAGTTGTTGCTGTTGCTGCTGTCTAATTTGCTGCTGCTCATAAGCCCTAATCATCTCTTGCTGCTCCCTCGCTGCCACAGCAGCTGCGAGTTGCTGCACGTCGAACGCCTGCTGCTGCTGCTGCTGGCTCTGGTGGTCCCTGATGACTAGCGGTGGCCCACCGGAAGCGGCGGCAGTCGGGATGCCCATCATGGGCATCATGTTGTAGGGCACCACTGTGGACATCGAAGGATTCCCCATGTACGGTGGAACTCCGGGGGGTTGCATTATTGTGGGGACCATCGCGTGGGGCCCCATGTAAGCGGCGAGCTCCTTCTTGGCAGTGGTGAGCTCCTTCTGGAGCAGGTCAAGCTTGTGCTGGAGGATAGAGATGAGGCCAACGCAGCCGTAGACTGGGTCCCGCAGGCGGGTCTCCGCCTCGTAGGCGAGGGAGTTGACGGCGTCCTCGCGCTGTGAGACGTTCAGCTCGTTGAGGAGCTTAGTCACGTTGCTCGCGCCGAACACTTTGTGGACGTAGGCGAACTTCTGCGGCTGGTCGGCGGGGAAGTAGGGGGCGAAGACACACTCCTGGGTGCACTTCCTGCGGAGGCACTTGCACGCGGCGCACGGAGAGTTCGATGACGACATGTCATTTGCCCAATTCCTCGTGGGGAGAGAACCTCATCAAAGAGAAGAGACCCAAGATCTATCAAGAGCGGCACTGCGAGATCATAGAAAAAACTTCAAGGACGAATTGAATCAAGCACGCGAAAAAGCGAAATTTAGCGAAATACTCGAATCGAGTTCATCGACACTCCATGTATGGAAATTCCGTGGAAATTAAACCTAGGTAAATAAAATTCGAAGCTGTTAGGTGGAGGGTTAGCATGTTCGTCGAAGAAACAAAGGAATCAGATGCAGATGCAAACGCAAATGATTAAAACTCAATCCGAGAGAAATCTTAAAGAAAATAAAAGAACGGATGAAACTTCGTCAGATCTTCCACCAAATAATCGCCGTCACCACAATCTATGAACGACGGAGGAAGGCGTCAACGCAGCCGTGATCCGGTGAGTCCGGCGGGGGGGTTTCAGAAGTGCAACCTAAACCTAAGTGGTTTCGAAAAGGTTCTTTCTTCCCCGTCTCGGAAGAAGGTGGACGGAAATCAGACGGTTGGTCATAAATCATAACCTCATGATTACCTTCACCTTTTGCGTCTAACGCGTAACTCCAAATCTGAATCTGAAAAATTCTCTCTCTCTCTCTCTCTCTCTCTCTCTCTCTCTCTCTCTCTCTCTCTCTCACGTCGTATCATACCCCACCGTTAACAGCCGCAAAACAAGATTTCCCCACCAATCCTCCTCGTTCGTCTCTTCCATTTCAACCCCCCCGAACAAAACCCAGAAAATATTTTCTCGGAAAAACGAAGCATTTCGAACGAAGAAGGGAAAGGAAATACAAACAAAGACAAAAGAGAGAGAGAGAGGGAGAGAGGGAGAGAGAGAGAGAGAAAGAACAGAAGGAAAAACTCAAAGTTTAATCACCACACCATCGGTATGTATGACGTACCTGGTCCACGGTCTCCAACCTGAGCGATGAATCTCCCTGCCTCTCTCTCTCTCTCTCTATGTGAAAGGAGAGTGCAGCGGATGGAGACAAAAAAACGATTCAAAGGAGAGGCGCTGAAACTCGAGAGAGAGAGAGAGAGAGAGAGAGAGAGAGAGAGAGAGAGAGAGAGAGAGAGAGAGAGACGTGGGCGTGGAGAGGAGGGATTGCGCTTATTTTAAAGGGTGGAAATATGGGGGAGAGGGGGGGGGGGGGGGCGGATTGGTAATGACAAAGCTTCATCATTGACCAAATCCGATGGCTCCATGGAATTTGTGGCTTCCTTTTCATTTTCCTTCCATGTATTACAAATTTTGTATTCATACGACGGGGGGTTTTTGACTTTTTCCTTTTTGTTCTCTCGGTTGGTTTCGTTACCGGGATAACAACAAAAGTTGGTTTCGCCTAGGTTTGACAAGTTCTTGGGTGTGGGGGTTAAAAAGCTGCTGATCTCCACGAAGCCCCTGTTTGTTTATCAACACATGTGTGCGTGCGTGCGTGTGTCTGTGTGCTTGTGGTGATTCATTTTGATTTTCGGGTCATTTAAGAAAATGGGGGCCACACTAGGAGACAAAAAGTAAGAAGGTTAAAAAAAATACCCTGCAGATCGATGTAATTATCCTTAAGCATGGTACGAGCTCTCTGTGAGTAATATAAGAGATGGAACTATACTGTCGAGATACACAGACCGGTTTATGTATAGCCATTTTCCATAAATAATGTTGGAAAAGTTCGATGCAACAATATTAAGATCGTAAGAATGATACCATCATGATTTTATGTTGGGTCTAAATAAGAAGAGTTTACGATTATAATAGGAATATCGGAAATAAGAAGATTTTGTAGAAATGTCGTATCGAATGATTGAATTTTGTTGCTGATTCGGGTTATCTAACAAAAAAAATCACTAGAATGTTATATTTATTTTCATGATGTGAGATCAAAAGGATCATGTTTTGGGTATGCAAATTATTCTTGACCTACTACATCATTAATCGACTAAAGAAAAGACATGAAATAAGTGCAAAACCGAAGTATTTTTAATTACTTGTGTATAAGATGACATGTATTTTATATGTGTATAATTCGGTTTTTTTCTAAACGAAGAAGTATCTATCTTTAGCAAACGTGTGGGAGACGGGATATTCATTGAAATCGCGTACCTACGTGTTTTTTATATGAGAGCATGAGTATTTTTACCAAAAGAGATTACAACTACTAACTGACATAACAAACCTTAACTAATATTTAAATAAGATGATCACATTTATGGGGTTCGTCTATAGTCCAATTGTGGTAATTAGTATGTCGTTCAAGGGGTTCGTCTATAATCCAATTGTGACAATTAGTATATCGTAATCGTAACTGACGTTACAAGCAATAACTAGTTTGTAGATAAAAGGATCGCATTCAAGGGCTTTGTCTATAGTCCAATTGTGGTAATAGGTATGTCATTCAAGGGGTTGTCTATAATCCAATTGTGATAATTAGTATGACGTAATCGTAATTTTCTCGATATTATTGTAATCTACTCAATACCTATAGTAACATATTACTAGTTCCATGCACATAGAAAACCCTAGGGAAATATTAATCGTAATTTTTTTTTTCTAGCAAAAAAAAAAAACAGCCTCTCTAATCTTTGCAACTTTACCACTTCGCTTTTAGATATACATCTTTTGCATCGTTAGATAATTGTCATCCTTTGAAAGATCCCAATCTCTCAAATTCTCCACAAACCCAAGCCCCCAATCACTGAGAAACCCTAATCTTCCACCACTCATCATCGCTCGTCGTCTCCAGCGGCCTCTAATTGCCTTCTCCTTTCTAGGCGCTGTCACCTTATATGGGAGAGGGAGGGAGGGAGAGAAAGAGAGGGCCGGAGGGCGAACTCACATCGGAGAGAGAGAATGGAGGGGTGGCAGCGAGTAGATTGGCGATAGCCAGAGACAGGCGACAAGCAAAAAACCTTTGATGATTTGATAAATAAACTCAATGCTGTTTATGGTGAGATGCTGTCTGAATCTTAGTTACCAAACTAAGGGTACAAAGATTAGGATGCATTTGATGAAAAGTCGATAGTTTTTTCCAATTTCCCATCATCCTATTTAAGGACAAGGAGTCCATCATATATTTTGTAAACAATTGGTATCATTCATTGCTTAACATTCCATAAAGTCACTTTAACATCAACTTATACATAGCCTTTTGTTATGGAGAAGCAAGAGAGCTCAACTCTAGGAAGTTTCTCAAGTGGTAAAAGCATGTTTCGCCTCACTCAAAGCCAGGATTAAAATTACCACTTGCGTAATCTCTTTGCCCCCACCCCCAGAAGTACACCCATGCATATTAGTCGTGTGCTCAGCCAACCACCATGAACCACAACCCTGACAATCAACGAAAAACTCCACATTCACGCAACCACCATCAACGAGACAACTGTGCACCTCGGATCCGACGTCATGAGACCTCTGTTAACGGCCAGAGAAAGAGAATGTGACTTGCGAGATAGATGCTCTAAGCGGGAGAGACGAACCAAGTGTGGGGTCGGAGGCGACGACGAGAAGCCATTTTTGAGTGAAGATGTGAAATGATAATGAAACGGTTCAGGAGCATCGGCTATAGTCATAAGTGAATTTGGCCAACTCTCTAACTAAACCTTAGGGAAGAAAATCAATGATACATTAAGGGGAATGTGACTTAAGCCAATCAAGGAAAATCAATAGTGATGGTAATCCAACCTATGTAATTTGCGATGCCATGAATTAGGTTCATATGGGTAATAACAAGTCACTTGTTAATCTAGTGACCCACTATTAAAAATTATTGTCCATCCTAAGGTGAGAATAGGGTAAGACTGCAATGAAAAAGAGGTTGAGCTAAGCTCTTGATGAATTCCATAGTAATTATTGGTGATGTATTAATTTGCAGAATACACTTCATAAAATCATTTATAAAAGTGGGGAGTGAGGCTGCTCCTATGAGAATTTTGGCAAAATATCTAGAGCACTTAATGAATAAACCCAGCACGCGAATGGTCTATTAGTGCGAAACAACGTTAAACAACAAAATTTGTGAGGGTTGTAATGTGATTGGTGAAAATTATGATTTACATGAGAAATTCTTGATTCATTAAAGTTGTAAAGTTCACCAATGACTTCGTGAATTGTATTTCATTCTTTCTAGGTCTTGTTCATAGCCAAAAAGGCACCAATTCTGATGTATTTCATTCCATTTAGTTTAACCAAGTATTTATCTTTCCTTGCTTTTGAAAACCTTTTGAAATATTTGCGTGATTGTTGGATATTTTTAACAATTTTGAAAATCTGAAAGCCCTCAAATTGTAACGGCTTTGTAACATCTGATTTGATTTGTTTCTTTATGAGAAAATGACATAAATAGTCCATAAACTTTGGTCCAATGTGATTCATGTTTGTTTAATGTGGTTTTTGAAATTTAACCTAATGTACAATATGGTTCTTGAACTTTCAATTTGTTCAAATTAATCCCCGAACTATTGGTATATGTTCGATTTAGTCCTCGAATTATATGAAAATATTTAATGTAGTCCTTTCATTAATTTAAGATCGGGACTATATTGAACATTTTCATATAGTTCAATGACTACATTGAAAGTGTATTAGAAGTAGAGGAACCATATTGAACAAATTAAAAGTTCAAGGACCACATTGACCAAATTAAAATCTTAGGGACCATATTGCACATCAGACTAAAGTTCAAGGACCATTTGTGTCATTATCCTTTTCATTATTAATCATCTCCTTCATTTTCCTATAAAGGGAATCTCCAAATCATAATCCAGACATACCAAACCAAGAAATTCTATCTTTTCTTTCCAATTATTTACTGGGTTTCACAAATAACGTGGATGTTCCTATTACCTCTATTTATTTAGTGTGGAGTAAAGAGGAAGATCCATTGTATCCTAGGATAATACCCGCTAGAGTTTGTCGTGCCGAGTATCATACTTTGAGAAACATAATTTTCTTTAAGGACAGTATTTGCATATCTCAGATATTTATTTTTATTTTCGTCTTTTCTAACAGATTTTTCAGCAGAAAGTTCACCTACTTAGATGAACACAAAAAGGGTTGGGTACTCGATTGCAAATCCGGTAAAATTCAGGCACTTAGGTGTCATTATTCCGTTATTCAAGAACAAGAAAAGAAAGTCTTTAAGTTGTGTAGATTATTGCATTGTATGGCCTAATATTGCACAATTCTTGGAATGGAAACTCGACAATGGTCGGCAGGATACCAAAATGCAAATGTTGGATTGGGAAATGTTTTCCAACAAATTCAATTGACACTTCGAACAATATGGGAATTCAAAATAGGAATATTTAGACCTTCTATATAGCATGCACCTTGCTATTTAGGTTGACCTGGAGCGACATTATTGGACGGCAAAAATATTGAAAGGGTCCAAACTTTGAATATTATGGGAATTTGAATAGTGCAAATTTTTTTTCCAAATGCACCATGGATATGAATAACGAATTGGGATAGATCGACTCACTTTCAAAAAAATTTTGGGGTGAAATTGACATAAAGAACAATTGACATTTTGCGCTAGAGCCCAAAGTATGAAGGCCCCTATGTACAATTTAATTGTCTGGTCATTCGTTCTACTGTTAATATAAAATATTAGGTGTTAGATTTACCGATGAATAATTGAGATTGGGATATGAATAGGATTTTTCTGATCCTATATAGGGCCCGCCCGAGCACAAAGTCGAAAAGGACTTCCACTTTTTGGCAGAAACCTACCTATGCCATGCATGTCAACCATTTTGACTCCTCCTCTAATTTTATAACCACTTTTCATTGTCCTGTTTTGGCCCTTTTTCTACTCCTCTCCATGCTCAGGACATTTTCGGTTTGAGGTTACCTATCATGTGCATGGCTTTGAGGTTGATTGGGCTGACTCCTTTAACATACATCATATGAATACCGGGAAAAGTTGATTCTGTGGTTCCAAGAGGCACCGTAACTTTATAATCTTTCATCGTCAAATTAAAATATAATAGATTCCAATCATTCGACAAATCTCAATATGGACAATTGTGATTTTTTTACTTTTCGATCTAACAGGTATATAATATACATATAATATCAAAATGAGTCATATTGCATCAATTAAACTTTATACATATCAAAATTACCCATTCAATCAATAATATCGAAGTATATATCAATGGTCCAGTCCATTGATCAATCCAGTACTCAATATCTAACTAAGCTCGCGCTTAACGCCCCGTGACATGGCTTACAAAGATTCTCCCTAGCTAGGTCTCGACCCATATCTGCATGTGGCTTTGCCCAAAAGGGAAGTCCATAAGACAGTATACATACTTACAACCCTTCAATGGGTTCATAACATGGCAACATGAGCATACGACTGACATCATCCTCCAATAACCCCCAAAGGCAATTCAGAATTTATCTCATAAATTGGTTTCATGAACCAAAACATATAACCTTTAATAAATCAATTCATCAAGCAGAATACATTTCATAAACCAGATTCATAGTGCAAAACACATAACCTTTTGCAATTCCTTTCATATAGAATGTCTCAAACCATTCACAAATAATCAATTCAAACTATTTCAAGAGATACTTTACTACTCCATTTCAAATAACTAGAGTGGTAATAAATGCTCGATTTGGCTTTTATGTAACAAATATGCTCCAACCATCACATTTTCTTTTGGTAAAATCATACCGAGCGATGCCTTTCATAATTTATAACATATCTAATGCCTACCGTAGTAGCGCGCTAGTCTTTTTAGGTAGTAAGTTGTATGTTTCATTTTGAGTCCAAGTGATCATGAGTTCTAAAGATAAATGAGTCATTACCTCTAACGGTCGCCGAGGTGAGGGTCTGGTGACTCTCGCTGGCTATAGTGAAAAAAAAAAAGAAGAAAAGAATAAAATAGAAAATATATAACAAAAATTCAGAAACATTTTTAAAAAAGTGCAAAAATTATTCATGTCAATGCCGGCTGTATCATGTGGACTTCACGTCAGAGATTTCCAATCAAAATTGACTGAAAAAACTATATTGTCATTTTGGTAAAAGATTTAGGACTAAATTAGCAAAATTAAAAGATTTATGTTTAAATTGAAATTTGTACAGTAAGTTTATGACTTTTTTTGGCAATTATTTCACTGGAGATGTGTCTCAAGATTCTCGATGCGCACCTTCGACGAGTAGACAAGAGCATCATTATGATAACATTCCCGGCTCGCAGAAAGCAAGTGATGAGCCTCCACCAGCTTATTACCCAAACAAATTTAGCTGGAGTTTGTCAAGTGAAGATTGATTTGCATCGTCAAGTAAAGGAATCAGGCAGAGGTGAAGCTACTCAAATGAAAAGTCTAAGAGGAATCCGAGAAACGCAAACTCACACGATTAGAAAATTGTCATAGCAAATCGTGACAAATACTCGTTTCAGGGAAAGACCCCACCTTAACACACATTTTTTGGGATCTTCGTATATTATCCCATTAATTCACAAAATTAACCTACAGTTAGAATTACAAACTACAAGCAACTAATCAATAATATGATCATACTAAATGTTTTTGGACAATTTATTTTATTAATATAGAAATGATTTTTTCGGTTTTCATGCATTTTTACATTATGAAGTGAATATGGAGAATTTTATAGCACTCCATGTAGTTTTTTGTTTAGCCTTATGCTTCTTGCAGTTTGATAAGAACAAGTTTTAATGATCAATCTCATTCACATCTCATTAAATTTTTATTTTTTCAATAACAAATATTTAAAATGAATGGCATCATTTAAGAGACTTTTTTTAGATAGAATCCATCTTTTAAGTATCAATAAATTATTATAACAAATAGACCTCATTTAATGTCGTTCGATGAGAACAATTCACTCACTACGCTCATTCGAGTTTTCAATAACAAAAAATATCTGAAATGAATAACATCAGTTGATAAACATTTTAAAGAGATTTTATCTTCCAACAGACCTCATCTAGTGAGAGGATGCAAGTGTATAATATCACATGTAGTGATATATAAATTTATAGAATGGAGATGCCCTAGGAGTAGGGGATCTATTATGAGTGTGCAAAAGAACCGGAAATTATTTCGACGGCCCAAAATGACCGGTTTGATGGACTCACCCGAGGACCGGATCACTACCATTGGTGGTTCTCAGTTCCCATTTTGTGGAACCGGTCTTTAGTGGGCATTCCCGGTTCCAAGGTGAGAGGAACCGATCACCCCTAGGATCTACAGTAGATTTATGCTCTCAACAAGCAACTTCTTCAATTCATTAATCGTTTGAAACTTGATTTGGCATCTCTAACATTATTAAAACAACATATATTTCCAATTCCAATGTAATAACTCACCGAATATCTGAATGAGAGAAAGAGAGGGCACACACCTAAATATTAAAAATCGCCCCCGAAAATCTCAGGCATCAAAGATAGAATTTAGTGAAATGAAGTAAAAACGTTCAACAGGAAAGGCTAAAATCATTACACCGGCGCTCCACGCCACCGGATCTTTGCTCTTGAGCTTGCTCTTGATGTTTCTTGATGCATGATGCTTGTTCCGACTGCGATGAGAGACGATGAGCTTGAATGTGGTATGGAGTAGCGAAACTCCCCAATGCTAGTGATGGCGAAGCCAGCGATGGAGGAATCACATTATTAGCGGTGTTGTAGTCTATTGCAGAAACAAATTTCCCAACACCGTCAGAACCATTTGCACCATACTTAATTTCATGTTGATGTTGTTGCTGTTGATCATGATGCCTCCTAATTTCTTGCTGCTCACGAACCCTACCCATGTCCTGTTGCTCCCTCGCTGCTGCAATAGCCGCAAGTTGATGCTCTTCAAACAACTGTTGTTGCTTTCCCAATGTCGACCCTCCACCATGCCACAATGTGTCACCCTCGCCCCTAGCCGTGATCCTCGGCGCCGTGTTGTACAGCGCCATCATGGACGACAAGGGATTACCGGCCATGAATGTCGCCCCAGGAGGTTGCATTATGGTTGGTATCATCGAGTGGGGTCCAATGTAGGAAGCGAGCTCTTTGTTGGCATTGCCGAGCTCCTTCTGCAGCAAGTTGAGCTTGTGTTGGAGGATAGAGATCAGTCCGACACACCCATAGATGGGGTCACGGAGGCGGACCTCGGCCTCATAGGCAAGGGAGTTTGCCGCATCTTCTCGCTGCGACACGTGGAGCTCGCTCAAGAGCTTGGCTACATTGCTCGCGCCGAAAACCTCGTGGACGTAGGCAAACTTTTGGGGCTGGTCCGCGGGGAAGTATGGCGCGAACACGCATTCTGGGGTGCATTTCCGGCGTTGGCACTTGCACGCCGCGCACGGAGAACTCAGCGACGACATAACATTTGTCCACTCTCAATGTGAGGAAACCCCGTCAAAGAGAATGAATGTCCCCAGCTGCAAGATCATAGAGAAGGAGAGACATTTAAGGGTACTTGAAAGATATGACTCCAGATTCAACCAAGTAGGCTAAAATCAGAAACTAACATAATCAATTCAATTCACCTATAGTCCATGTTTCGAAACACAATGAAAATCGATCAGATTAGACGTTTAAGTTGTTAAGCGAAAAGATAATCACTTCTTAATTGGGATGCTCAACCAAAAAACATGTATATTATTAATTTGCAAATGATCTAAACTTAATAGGCTACAACCTAAGCCACAGATTTTCGATTAGTATATATATCTCCGTACTTTTTTCTTTCCAGGATGTTGATCTCAAATCATATCACCTCGATTTCGTCTCTCACGGGTGAGTTCAAATCTGAATCTGGAATTCTCTCTGCAAAGATCATCTCAAGCATCCTCTCTCACCTCTTTTCACTTTCACTCTTTTCAGAATACAGAAATGGTCGAAAATCACTTCTTCCTTTGATTCTCCTCACTCTTCCCTTCTTTCCAATTCACCCAAACAAACCCAGAACAGCAAAAGCATTTCGAGGAACAAACGAATGAATCAGACAGAAATATTACGTTCAGCATTGATGCACGACGTACCTGGTACACGGTCTCCTCCAGCCTGAGCGATCCCTCTGTCTCTCCCTCTCTCTGAAGAGAGTGCAGCGGATAGAGACAAAATTGATTCAACAGAGAGATGTGGGTGTTGGAGGAATTGTTATGCGTGTTTTTTTAAAAAGGAAATGCAATCTAATCTATTATTATTTAGTATATAAATCCAGATAATATTATATCATATATCTGTCTACCTTAATATTATATCATATAAAGCGAACTCAATACATCTTCCTACCTTAAAATTTCATATAAAAATGCTCTAATCAAAGCCAACATCCATTGTAAGATTAACAATGGAGTACATGACTGATAAGGTACTAATTTAAATGACTTGCTTGAGTCTTTTAAAATATAATAGAAAGATAGATGTTTTAATCTTACAATAATTTGAATTCATTTCCATAAATTGTAGCAACTAAAAAAAAAATTTCTTTGCACTATATTTGTTAGGAGGGATTAGGAGGGAAGGAAAGGTTTCTGAAAACACAATCGTGTTTAGGGATTAGTAATCAGTTTTTATGTAGGATTTGATGGGATTTGTGGATTAGTAAACAAATTTTATTTTTCTTTCTTACTTATACCCTTATTTGCATTAAAGAATTTTTATTTCTTTATTTCCCTCGTTAAATATTATAATTCAATCCTCTCTAATCCCTTCTTTTCTTTCCTCTCATAATTATTTCAATCCATTCTTTTGCTTCTTAATTACTAAATCCAAACTCAACGTTTAAATTTTTTTTTTCATTTTTCCACACGCGTGTACAAATAACCTAGAGAATTCTTTTTCTATGAGTATCACTACATATCTATACACATCGCATGTAGACTTTTTAATTCTCAAGACATTATTCGTGAACATCAACTGAAGTAATCGTAATGCTTATAATTGAATTGCCAATTAACATTATTTTCAGCGAAGACCATGAAAATTTATGAAATTTTTTTCTAATTTACCTGACTTTTACAACGTGATGAGTTGCTTTTGTTTTTAGATAGTTTTATAGGAAATTTCTTATTTCAAATAATGTCTTTTTTTTTCAAATAATATCTTTACTAATCATGACTTATTCACTTTACTATTTACATAAACAACTAAATACAACACTAATAAAAAAATGCTTGTTACAATACTATTCAAATTAACAAACTATGTCAAGCAATGTTGGAGAATTGTTTAGGATACATTATTTATGAACTCTTTACATGCCACATGGATCAATCATTTCTGTTCACATGAAAAATGTGAGGTGATAGGATCCGGACACGTGGGTAACCTATTTTACCCAGCTTGGTGCTTATATATTGCACCGGTCACATATGTTTTAATAAGTAGATAACAAATTATGATATTCTGAAAGTCACACAAAAAGAATATTATCTACAAATAATCCAGAGGATTCATTTTTCTCCTGTTATCACTGCACATCCTGTTTAGGCTTTATGATTGCTCAGACATTACTTATGAAGATCAGCGAAATTAATCATGATGATTACTAAATGAATTGTCAATTACTATTATTAAATCATGGTAATTTTAAAAAATCATTTTCTTGACTTTTACAAAGTAGTTTGCTTTTATAGTTAAATCGATTTTCAATTGTTTTATGGATGATTGCACATTTCAATTATTTTTTTACACATCACAATTGAATGACTTTTCTATTTTACATAAACAACTATTGTATAGTTTAGATTATACTTATTCAATTAATTAAAAATAATTATTAATGCAGTCTCTTTATATGACTAATAAATGAAAAGAAAATCAATAATGAATTTAGCTTGTGATTAATTACAGAATGAGAGAAATGAACAAAGTCTAACGCTTGATCAAAAGATTGTGAGTTTCTTCATTTTCCACCTTTTTATCAATATCCACTTTTATCTTCTATTCAAGAAGTCTTCAAGCCATAATTTCTTTAGCCTGGCACTCTTAAAAATGAATGCTTTTGCAACTCTCTCATTTTCCTCTAGATAATCAAAGGCATATGAGAGGGTGGATCATTCATGAGCCTTCACATATTAGAAGGATCAATAATGTCAGTTTATACGAAATAGAAGAGTCCGTAGGATCATCTTTAGTGTAATAAGTAAGTAACAAGCTATAGAAATTACCATGACAATCAGATTGTTAAAATCATATGAGAAAAGTCAAGCAATTAAATCACTTCAGTTTCATATGAATTCAGTTCATTCCATTAGTACTAGAAAAAGAAGACACGCTTTGCGTGTGAAGAGAAAGTAGGAACAGTTCATTCTATTAGGCAATTCTTATGGGAAGGAAAGCTGAAACTCACAGATCCCACAAAGTTGCATAGAAAGTAGCTTGCTCGATCTGAAACTCAAGAATAAAGTATTGCCGGGCCACATGCTTTGGAGTCTCATCAATCATTCGACCTCATCCCAATGCAATATTGGATTTATCACACTAAATGCATAGGTACTAATATTATGCAACTCAACATAAAGGGCAGTATGGCTTGGAGTTGGTGATGTATTCTCAAGCTATGACTTGCTCTAACACCTATCATCTATAGCAAACATACTGTTGCAAGAGATATACAAGGAATTCAGATAAGAGGGACCAGGAGTGAACTGGTATCAATTGACTTGGACCAGTGATATTAGCAAGTATAATTTTATCGGCTTGCTTGTTTGTACATATAGGCTACTGACAGAAATAGTCATATCACGATGGTTAATACTAATTATAACTTTTGTATGACTAGAATAGCAAACGAAAACCACTTATTCTTTGAGTGCACTTAGACAAGAAGTATATGATGCAATATTCTAGCACAAAACGGAATTAGGCGTTCTACAGGAGATTTGAATTTAGAATTTCAATGGATGATCAAGGCCACCAAGGGCAAAAACTTGGCGGCAAGACTCCTTAAGCTGTCTTTCTTAGCGAATATCTATTGCATTTGGATGGAACGCAACGGCAGAATTAGTCTCTACCAACATTGTAGGCCTTCTCGCAAATATTTTTATTGGCTACTATATGGAGGCGTCCTTCCCCCATCTTCTCGCATAATTAGTCTCTTTGTAATGCTAGGGGATTCTCCTAACCTTTTTAACTTCATTTGATTAATGATATTCACATATTTACACACAAGAAAAAGTGGGAACAAATTAAATTTATAAAAAATAAAAGAATGATTTTTATCAAGTCCACTCCTGGTATAAAAAAATAACTTTCACATTAACTGTTGGATGGTAGACATATGGCAAAATTCAATTATAAAATTAACTCCAAACACACATGTCACTTATCCAACGGTGAATGTGTAAGGATATTTTTACTCTGACATTGGACCTGATAATAACTGTTAAAACAATATGTTTTGTATATAATTTATATTGTCGTAAAACGAAAAGTGAGAGATTCATGGAATAGTTAACAAATATATTGAATTGGAATTTAGAAGGTGAAATATGCATTGATTACTTGCGAATTATCTTGGTTATTGTAAACTACGGTTTTGTCCATCTATAAGTATGTGCAATCCTAAGGTATTTGAAATATATGCAGCGGTTTTCATGGAAATTTCTTCCTTAAAGTTTGGGTTGAAGTGGTCGATGAGCTTGCTATTGTATAAATATGAATTTTCTTGATGTTGTCTGTCTTAGTATCTCCAATGAAAAGATGAACTTTTGATAATTTACACATAATATATTAATGTAGCTTAAATTGAGAGAAACAAATGGAAAATAAAAATCATGCGCAATGTGCGGATTGACCTATTCTAATAAATTTGATGGAATGTGTGATTCCTCCTTATCCTTGTTTTTCCACACGTTTTTTTTCACTATTTCCATTTGTCGAGGGCAGTTTTGTTACGAGGGGAGGATAACAAAAGGTTCGTTTTGCAAACATTGAGTGTTCTTGCAAACTGTCATGTCTAAGTGCATAGATGCGTACTTCTGTCGTTAAATTATGATCGATGTTTACGCATGACAAATATATTACTATTCATCACAATGTTTCTGAACTTTCTAACAGGGGCTTGTGCCTAAAGACTTGGTGCAAGTACACTTTGTGCATCGCATGCACGACCTCTGCGGAGTTAACTTTGGATTAGTGGTGGGATCCCAACTTAACTCCGTCTAATTGAGGATAATTTAGAGAGTTTTGATTTGGAGGATCTCCGGTTTACCTACCTCCTAACCTTTTTCTATCGGGCTTCATGTTGACCCATATCGTTATTACATATCTCTAGTCGCAAGGTAAGATTCTTTTCCATAATAAATAATAGGCATAAACAGAGGGGATGAAAGTAATAAGTAACATATAAACTCAATAATAGATTAAAAAAGTAAGCAAAATAAGTAAAGAATTGGATTTGTCAAGGTAGACATTTTGTAGTGCGAAGCAGATAAACGATTAGAAAATGACTCTATATATGCTCAGCCAATGCCATTGTGAACGCTTCAACTAAGTTAAGAAGCTTTCATTTTCACAAGGTACAACAGGGTCAACCAAATCATTTGGATCTTGTTGACCAGCAATTAGTATAGTTGATGTGGCACAAATTTGTTGATTCATCAAATCTAGTCATTAAATGTTGAGCATGACATTTTAGAAGGGGGGAAAAAGACAATATTCACGAGCCATATAATGCCAAGAAATAAACAATTGCTAGCTGTTGACTTGCTAACAAGGGTAGCGTGAGCGGCCATCTGTAGAAATTGAGCACAAACGGACAGAAAGGGATCGCTGTCGATTGGAAAAGTTTTTCAGTTCATTAGGTATTTTCATGTCACCCGTGTTGAGATTATGATTAAGATGGAAATTGACTAGACTTCAATTCATTGAAGCGGCTAGATATTCATCGATCACGGTTGAGCAAACGACCTCGTTTCCGCGGTCTTTTGCCAATTGGATTTCTCTAGCCGAGCCACATCGACCGATTTATAATTGATTAATATCAGGTCAGATTTTTCGGCGAGAGAAATCGCCGATGACGCTCAAATAAACGGTTTTTAAAAGGTATAAAAAAAAGTGAAGGAAGCGTTACACGAAATTTGCGGGATTTTTTTTCTTACTAGATATATTATCCTTTCTTGGTAATGTGCGAATTAAAGGAGTGCTAC